TGCGGACTAGTTTTGATTTTTAACACTCCAAACACGATGCCTCCGGTAAAATATGTAACTGCAAATTGGCAATGTTTGAAAAATTTGATTAAATCTATTGTAACCGAATAAATCTTCAAATTAAGTTTCAGATGGTGCCAATATATTTTAAATTTGTCAATAAATGGCTGAGCTATGATTTTTCAAATATTGCAAGTTTGCCGTTATACATTTCACGGAAGGCTTCGTGTTCTGAGTTTTAATGAAATAAATGCCAATATCGCCAAGGACTAATGTACCCATTTAGTTAAACCAGTATTAAGGCTTGAGTGGAGGTCAAGAAATTGGCCTTAAGCCTCTTGTTTACAGTATACGTAAAAAAGTAAAAAACCTTGAACTGAAACAAATACTCAGTTAATGGATATTTATCTGCCAAAATTTAATTTTGTGTTGACATGAACCGGATGAGCACTGATGTATTTTAATTATTTTTTACTATCTGGTTTGACACATGATATGCATTTTAGTTAGCGAATGCCCTTTGGTTGGTAAAACGTCGACACAGTTCAGCGAACGTTGAATATACTTAACGGAATAATTATTTCACTTCTGTTTTTTTTTCCAAACCAGTTTAGTATGCATACGAAGCATATAATTTGAAGTATTTTACTTAATACATATATTATATACTTAAGACGTTTTTCACATGTAGAAGAATTATAGAAAATCTGCAAAACTGATAGATTTAAAGCTTTGTTCAAAAACCAGGAATTTTATAGAAGAAACCAGGAAAACCGGGAAAAACCAGGATTTTAAAGTCAGAAATTCACTTGCCACCCTGTAATAAGGATACATTATGTGATCACGCATCTAGGATCCGGGCAAAAAACATTTCTGACTATACTCATACATCGTATAGTAAAAATGATAGGATCAAAGAAGAAAACATCTCGCATAAAAAATCGTATGCTAGAAATGTCATCAGTTGAAAATTTTGAAAATCTAAAAAAACTGCTCATGTTTGACCTAAATCTAAAAAATCTTTCAAACAGAGGTTGGCACGGTTGACGTTTACTACACTCGCTTCATTTTCGTGCGCGGCAGTCTGTTTGTATTCGTACACTCATGCTCCTTCGTCGTCTTTCTCACACAACACAAATGGTAGAACAACATTTGTGAAAAAAAATTATCAAATAACTTTTATGTGACAATGTGTGATTTCGTTCTAATTCCTCAATTTGGTGTAAATCAAACCATTTCTGATCAGATATGTTATTACTAGGACATCGTTGCTTGCTATTTTCATAATTCCAGCAAGCACAACATTAGCAACTCGTATTATGAGAAAAACTAAAATATATACACACCTGACGGTCTTCGGCGACCGTATTTTATGACAGAGACTGTCATTTGACATTTTAGTTTTGTACTGTACTTTGATAGCTTGTTTTCTAGCGGTGACCGCTACAACACTGCTCTAAAATGTTTTCAAAGTTTTAGTTCTTAAAATATTGTCTATGCCTATGATCTTGACATTTTTTTAAGGTTCACAATATTAGACTTCTAATTCGCATTCTTCAAATTAGTCAAAAGTGTTACTGCCTTTGAATAAGATTATTAAAACTATTTAAAGACACAGAATTATGAAAATTGTACCCAAAGATTTATTTATTTTAAATGTGACATTTTCATATTTTTTTTTTTTCAAAACTCCTGGATCATGAAAATCAAAAAAGATTTTAACCTTTATGTCACCATGTCATTCAAATGAGAGCAAGCTGGGTACTAGACTGATGCAAATTTTGACATTTTCGCTCCACAGTGCTCAAACGGTTCCAAATCGGGTCCTGATTAGTCTCCCAAAATTTGAACTCATTTGCAAAGAAACTGACTTGGCACAAACCATTTGAAGTTTATATGGAAATTACTATAGGAAAACCAAATATTTTGTTCATATCCATCTAACAATTTACCATATCGCTCTGCTTTTAAAAATGATAACTTAGCTCGTAGAAAATTTTCTCAGCTACAACTTTGTCCTTAACCACTTTTCATTATAATGTAAGCATCAAAAGTTATCAATAATTCAAGCCACTAATGTCTTACGATTATGCTCAATCAACTGTTCAGCAGGCAACATTGGTGTTTCTGGCGCTTGGAATACAGCACAAAAATCATGGCTAATATGTCACACTGCAAGATACAGTGTTGCTCACAAAACAGCTGCTTGATCATGCCATAAGATTATCAATCTCTGAAACAATTAATAACTATTTTATTTGACGTTTGGCTCAACAACTATATTCTGCTAAGTTGAAGCAGAAATTTTTTTTCCATAAGTATAGCTTTTGAATTTTCGAATAGTGCAATATGGAAAAAGTTAAAAAGACAATGAACAAAAAGTTTTGATTTCCTATAGTAATTTCCATATAAACTTCAAATGGTTTGTGCCAAGTCTGTTTCTTTGCAAATGAGTTCAAATTTTGGGAGACTAATCAGGACCCGATTTGGAACCGTATGAGCACTGTGGAGCGAAAATGTCAAAATTTGCATCAGTCTACTGGGTACCCTGGTACCCCGTCGTGCACATAACGGTTGAAAGGCGTTACATGACCTCCTCTTTGTCTCTTAAATAAAGAAAACCAAACCAATCAACCTTCATTTTCGCAGTTCCAGATTGTTGAAAATTGTTCCAAATAATACTCTAAGTGCCATCTGTCACTTATCAAAAGTGACCCATTCGGCCTAATGGCTTGAGGCCTAACGACCCATTATCCTCTAAACTGACTTTTGTAATTGCATCCCAACATATTGAAGGGACAGAAGTTGTCCTACCTCTTAATGCCTCGAACGAACCTAATCAAACATTCGCATTAGAAACTTCCCCCTTTCTAGTTATTTAAGAGTTTGCTCTCTATTGTGTCAGTATGCATTTCCATGGAAAGTGCCCTCCAAGCGGATTTTCAATCGTTCACAGTAGTCTACCCATCAGTTCAACACATCTCCGGTAGAGATTACGGCTCTTTGGTTCTTAGTGGCGTAGCATTGTAGCTGATAGCAGTGCTGCACTGAAAGCGATGATGGTGATGATGTGCTGCTACTGCTGCTACCTACTAGTGCTGCAGCTACACATCAAACAATGTGTATGAATAATTCTCATCTATGTCATGAATATTCATTGAAACAATATCTGACCTTTCCTTTTCGCATTCATGTTTACTTTCATCATTTTAATTCGGTCTTACGGTGATGAGGTGTGGAAGCGGTAGGGGGTCCGAGAGCGACAGAGGAAGATTCCTTGTTGACGGCGTTTCCTTGGATCGTGCATGTTGTATAGCCTGCTGCAGTGCATTCCGTTTATGTTTTCCGGTCATTTGAAAGGCGCATACACTCCTTTTCATCCGCCACGAAATTTCCTCTCGAGCACCTCTCTTTTCTTTGTGTCTGTAGGTATCATGCACACAAACAGCTACCAACCCGAGCTGTACGTGGGAAGAGGGAGACGTTCTCCCAGTAATCCTTCTTCTCGCTGGAAGCAATTTTGTGTGCTAAATGAAATGAAGAGCTTTTGCGCTTTCTGAACTTAAAAGCATACAAAATGGATGGTCACGGTGGGAATGCAGATGGAAACTGATTGGAGGTGTGATACACTCTCACACACACACGATATACGAGAAAGAGGAGGTTCTGTAGTCATCCCACAGCTCTTGTGCGGTGGGGGAGAGTGCCACAAAAGGCTGCGGTGTGTACCGATATTCCGTAAAGTGCACCGTGCAGATGCATTTGCATCTTTCGACGAGAGTCCTTCTCCAGGGCGGGTTCGGCTGCAGAGAATATGGTAATTGAAGCCGATGTTTGTGATATGCTAATTTTGTAATCGATACGTTCTTTTGGATTTGCGAAACTGTTTGTTTTCCGGTATCCGATGTGGGTGGCGATTTTTCCGGCTTAGCTAGGAAATTGATGAAAGACTTCGTGCTTGTTACATCGTGGGAGTGAGGGATTGGATGCCAAAGGATAAATGCAACGTACATTTTTAATTGGATTTATACGGGTGGTAATCAATTGTTTGGTTGTACTTGTTACATCGAAGCATAAATCGTAGATAAGCGATGGATTCTTCAGTGGTGTTGAGTACTTGGCACTGATGAAGTCTGCAAGTAGTAGACGAAATACGCGTATCTGTCAAAAGATAAGCAATTATAACGGGATTCAAATGAAATTAATCAACACACTTTAAAAGATCTTCTCAAATTTGCCATACCGGAGAAAGTCGTGCTCTCTCTAGTGTTACTTGCGGAAATTTAATTTAAATGTTTTGCCTGAATTATACATTATGTCCACTCTAAAAGTTGCTTTCACTTAAACCTACTAAAGATATGCTAAATAAATTTAGATCTAAATAATTAGCCAGATACATCCATCAGAGTCAATCTACCAGGATGTGCACTACTACCTAATGTTCGTCATAGTCCCAAGGCATAATAGCAGAATCGATGCATCATTTAGCTCAACGTCGAGGCAGGTGTAACTTACACGAAACCACACTCGCATTGTGCTTCGAACAAAGTAATTATTTGCTGCTGCTTCTCATCGCGGAATGTTTGCATCATTTTCCAACCGTCGTCGCTGCCACCGCCGGTGCCACAGTGCAGGTTACATCGAACAAATGATATGTGCGCTGTTTATACGCTGACAATGACAACGATAATGATAATTTGTTGTTTGTCGATTCGATGCATTCGATTCGTCTATCTGACAAAAGCGGGCGGGGGGGGGGGGGGCGACTGTCGGGGCTGGTACCATGTAATTATAATTAATCTATTGATGTGTGTGCCAGGCTGAAAAACGAAAAACATATGTGTTCCCTCTAATTGGATTTACACTTTGCGCTAATTCGACACACGCGGAGAGAGAGAGAGAGATGAAACACTTTGTTGCCACCTAGGTTACGAATTATCATTATGCTCCTCCATTATCAAAAAGCTAATAACAGTGTAATTTCTTCTCGTAATTTTCAGATATCACATCAGATGAACCAAGTGTGTAGTTCGATACTGAATTCCACCTTCCAGAAGCTCCAGACACAGATGCTGAATCGTTTTCAGATCGTGAAAGCAAAAATGCCGCGCAGGTAAGCCAGATCTCGATGATGTTTTTCTTTTTCATCTTTATTATAAATCTTCTTTTACGCAGCCAGAAAAGCTGCCGCTTCGTAGAGGCATAAATCTAAGCCAAATAACATCATCACTTCACTGTCGACAATGTGAGACATTCCAATTGTTTGAACCAGCAGCAGCTTGGCTTTTTCCATATAACTTTAAGCCACCTGACTGTTAATGCATTTTCACTGTACATAAATTCAATCCCCACACCTGGGATACACAATGTAGTGATTGTGCCATTGTGTGTATGTATTCGTATCTACACAAACAATACGACAACAGCAGCGGTGGAAATTTTTATTCGATTTGACATAGTGGGAATTATGTATTCGTACAAATGTGGTGCATGAGAAGATTTTCTCTACTGGATGATAGGTTTCCGGGATCACTGTGCAATATTCGTTAATTTAGTAATGCTATTTATGTGTGTTTTTTATGAACATACGACAGTTTTCTTTATTTACCCCAAATCTCACATAAAATATGTGATTTTTTACTCAATAAATATTAAATTCCACTAAAGATTCAGGAAATGGGTTTCTTTTTTAAGATAAGACAGGCTGTCTACTACCTAAAATAAAATCTGGAAAGCCGGTAGTCCTTGTAGAATTATATTTTTCCTTGAAAATCCTGGAATTTGTAAGTAATTTTGTCATTAAAGCAGTTTCAGGGAAAATAGCGACAAAAAAAATTATTTCAGACTCAACCTTCTCCGATTTGTATGAAACTTTGTGTAATTGTTTGTTATGGTCAATGATTCATATTTTTAATAAAATTGGGTCATTTTGAATCTTGTAGAATTTTCAAAATGGCATCCTTGATTTTTTTTTCTAAAAATTGTAGCACGGAAACGGCATTCTGATCGATAAGACGTCTGAGACAAAGTTGTAGATATAAATAATGTCTTTCTGGGAAAAAATAAACTTAAAAGGTTCTTAGGAATTGCAAGTACATGTACAAGTACTGAGAACATAGTTCAGGGTGTCCATTAGACTGATGCAAAATTTGACTTTTTCGCTCCACAGTGCTTAAATGGTTTCAAATCGGGTCCTGATTAGCCTCCCAAAGTTACAACTCATTTGGTTAGAAACAGACTTCGCACAAGCCATTTGAAGTTTACATGTAAATTACTATGGGAAATCTGAACTTTGTGTTCATTGCCTTCTAGTCTTTTTCCATATTGAGCTACGAAACAGTTCGATAGCCATTCTTATAAACAATTTTCTCAGCTACAACTTTGCCGAAGATCGTTTCTATGTAAAACGAGACAGGAAAAAGTGATTAATTATTTAAGAGGTTGGTAAACTTATGACATGATCAAGCAGCTGCTCTGTAGGCAACACTGTATTTTGCAGTGTGACATAGTAGCCATGATTTTTGTGTCCTATTCAAGGCCCCAGAAACACCAATGTTGCCTGCTGAGCAGTTGATTGAGCATGATCATAAGACATCAGCGCATTGAACCATTGATAACTTTCGATCCTTGCATTTAATCGAAATGGAGCATTTCTAGCTCAAATCGTTAAAAAAAATGTCAATTTTGTCTCGACCCCTTCTGATTTGAATGAAACATTGCTCACGTGTTCGCTGCTACTAATGGTTGCATTTTTCATTTAAATATGATTTTTTCCTCCAGAGTAACTTTTGAAAAGGGCGTATAAAAAAATTGATTATTTTTTATTCAAAAAATCATAACTTGAAAACTATTGATCTGATCAAAACAACATATGAGAAGAAGTTTTAGGTAATTAAATTATCTTTGCGGAAAAAATACACTGAAAGAAAAAACTTTGTAAATTAGTATTTAAAAAACGTAAAACGATGATTATCTCAAAACACCCCCCCTTCGATCTTTATAATTTTTTTTTTCAAGAAAATTGATGGAATACCCTTGAATTTCGTGAAAAGTGTATGCTGGTAACTTCCTTAAAAAGAAATCTATATTTTTTTAAATTTTTGTTGATTTTTATAAGTTGATGAAATTGCATATTTTTTTGAAAAATAACAATTTATTTGGATTCTACGCATAATTTTCGATAACTTTGCATATAGAAACTTTTTTCCTAAGTCCAGCCGTTCTCAAGTTAATGCAAATTAAAAAAATATAATTATAACAATTTTCAACATTTTAGGCCATTTTCAAATGTTTGTCGAGATGTCCAGCAACGAGATTTTTATTTCATGATTTTATATTAAAAAACAAACAATTCATTCTCAGATATGGTAGCTGTCAGACTTACCCGTTTCTATCTAGAGACAGAGGAAGAGAAGCACGTTGATGTGGTCAAATGAAAGATTTGTTGAGATAAGAAACAGTATATATTTATTATTTTATTTTACAACTCATATTATTTGAATACATTGAATAATTTGGGTGTATCGTTTGAATTAGAGAATATTTTTACTGCAATTTGGTTGTTTGAAACTGGAATATAGCAATGATATTTTCGAGTTCCAGGAATTGGTTTCACTTTCTTAAAAATTGGATCAAATTCCGTGTCAGCCTTTTTGTATTCTTCCGTAGAAACATAACAAAATGACATTTTTGTTTGAAGATCTTCTTTACGACTATTTGCCCAGTCGTACAGTTGTTAAGGGTTCGTTATAGGGCGCTCGTGTTGCTAAGCTAAACTTGCTCTGGTTGCCATTCTCTTAAGGGTACCGCCAATCGCATAACAATGACCTTTGCCGTGTGAAGTTGCAAAAAAATGCCATTCAATTTCTACATTATGCTTATCTTTAAATCCACAAATGCTAGCAAAAATTTGTATGCTCCATCTGACATAAAAATACACTTTTGGACTGTTATTTGCAACTTTAAAAATTCTAATAATTTTGAGATAAAAAACTGAACTGCTACTGTGTCATGCTTTGAAATTGATTTAGGTGGAGGTTAACAACACTTGAAATTGTTATCCATCGTAAAAAACTACTTGCTTTTTAACTTGAAACGCTAAGAGAAATTAACTGAATGGAACAGGTGAAGATCGTCCCAATATATATATATATATATATACATATATATGTAGCAGAATAATTACAATGTTGACATTATACCTATCTTCATTAGGTACAATTGATTATAGCAAACTTTTTTAAGTGTGAGTGTAAGAAGCCTCCACGGGTGCCTTTTTATGTAGTTGTGATATCGCGGGATGAGCTCTTAAGGCACAATATGGTATACGTCAGAGAAGTACCTAGAGAATTTATCTCAATTACAGGTTGAATAACATATTTGTTTACCTGTTTATGTTTTGAGCCTCTGTTATGACCTACACAATTCTATCCAGGTATACAACTAATAGAGGACAGAAAAAAGGCACATGAGTGGGTTTGTTGATTATTTGGGTATATTTGAGAGTATTCACTTATAAACTTGTTTCTTTTCCGCTGCGTCTAAATAGAAACGGGTAAGTCTGACAGCTACCATATTTGAGAATGAATTGTCTGTTTTTTAATATATATTCATGGAAAAACATCTCGTTGCTGGACATCACGACTAACATTTGAAAATGGCCCAAAATGTAGAAAATTATTATAATTATATTTTTTTAAATTGCATTAACTTGAGAACGGCTGGACTTAGGAAAAAAATTTCTATATGCAATGTTTTTGAAAATTACGCGTAGAATCCAAATAAATTACTATTTTACTAAAAAATATGCAATTTCTTCAACTTGTATAAACCAACAAAAATTTCAAAAATTATAAATTTTTTTTTAAGAAAGTTACCAGTATACACTCTTCACCAAATATTAGGGCATTTTTTCAGTTTTCTTGAAAAAAAAAATTATAAAGATCGAAGGGGGGGTGTTTTGAGATAATCATCGTTTTTCGTTTTTGAAATACTAATTTACTAAGTTTTTCTTTCATTGTATTTTTTTCCGCAAAGATAATTTAACTACCTAAAACTTCTTCTCATATGCCATTTTGATCAGATCAATAGTTTTCAAGTTATGATTTTTTGAAAAAAAAATAATCCATTTTTTTATACGCCCTTTTCAAAAGTTACTCTGGAGGAAAAAATCATATTTTAATGAAAAATGCAACCATTAGTAGCAGCGAACACGTGAGAAATGTTTCATTCAAATCGGAAACACTCATGACCAACCGGTTTGCGTTTTGGGCTGGAAATGCTCAATGTGGTCTTGAGCAAAGTTGTAGCTGGGGAAATTCCCTATAAGTACAGTTAAATTTTTTTAAGCAGACTAATATGGTGAATTATTAGATAGACATGAACAAAAATCTTGGTTTTACCATAGTTATTCCCATACAAACTTCAAATGGTTTGTGCCATCACAGTTTCTCACCAAATGGGTTCAAATTTTGAGAGGTTAGTCAGGATCCGATTTGGAATCGTTTAAGTATTGTGGAGCAAAAATTTCAAAATTTGCATCACTAGTGTCCAGCCAGCCGGGAAATCCGGGAAAAAACAGGGAATCCGGATTTTCCGGGAAGAAATGCGGGAAAACCCAAATCGCACCGGGAAAGATCATAAATACTCATTCCAAGTAACAATTTTGGGTTTGTCATACATAGTCTTGTAGGGCATAATTTGGCCTTGAAGAATCGTTAAAACCTTTATAAAACTTGCAATCTCACTTGGAATCAATCAATTTTATATCACATACACCATTATATTCTCTTGTTTACACATCTGCTTAGAACTTTCATGTTATGTCTTTCACTGTGGTAAATTATCCAAAAATCCTCAAAATTATTGCACATATTGCTCTCACTCACAATCAGTTCGCGCACGAGGCAAATGGTGATTTAGCTGTTATTCCTACCACGATAGCTTACCTAGTAGTTTGTTAGAATTTCTTTTGGTGTTTCCAGGCATTTTGGAAAACCAAATAAACCAAATCAATGATATTATGGGGCTTCACGAAGTTTTAACCATTCTATCATTAAATCGAATCTTCGTATACCTTGTTGAGTCTGCAGAACTTCAAGATCAGATATTCGG